AAAAAAAAAGCAGAGTCTCACTTTGTCACCCAGGGTAGAGTGCTGTGGTGCCAGCCTAAGGCACAGCAACATCAAACTCCTGGGCTCAAGCAATCCTCTTATCTCAGCCTCCTGAATAGCTGGGACTATTTGTGTGTGTGCCCATACTACTAGCCTAGTTTTTCTATTATTATTATATTTTTAGTAGAGACGGGGTCTCACTGTTGCTCATTAAGGTCTGAAACTCCTGAGCTCAAGCAATCCACCTGCTTCAGCCTCCCAGAGTGCCACAATTACAGGCTCCAGCTATCATGAATAGGCCAATTGAAACTGTTTATGAAGCAGGGCTGGGAAGATCCCTTGAGGTCAGGAGTTCCACACCAGCCTGGACAACACAGCAAGACCCCATTTCTAAACAAAACAAAACAAAACAAAATAATTTAGGTGGGCCTCTTGACCCACACCTGTAGTCCTAGCTACTCAGGAGGCTGAGGCAGGAGGCTCACTTGAATGCCAGGCTGCAGTGAGCTGTGACAAACCTCAGTGCCCTCCAGCCTGACCAACACAGTCACGACACTGTCTCAGAAAAACAAAAACAAAAGCCATGTAATTAGTGAGTGCATCTTTTTAAGGCATCTTCGAAACTGCTCTTGCATGATAAAATACAGGCTAGCAGACCTGAACGCGCTATGGTTTCTGTTTGATTTGCAAGGTATGGTCTGGGAGAATCTGGTTTCTGGCACTAAATTAATCCAGGCTGTTTCGTATTACTGTTACTTTAAATTTCCAGAATCGGACAGGCTAACAAGCTAAGTGTTTGCAGACAGAGCTTGGTGCGTTACCTTGCCCTGTGACCAGGGCTAAATGCACCCCCAAGGCTGGCCGAGGCCCACCTACAGCCAGACATCCATGCAGCCCTCGGAGGGTCGGAGCAGAGGGGCAGCTTACATTTTAAAAGAATAAATACGGGACTGAATACCGTGAGCGGCTGCACAGACCTTGTGATAAAATTATTTCTGCAAGAATCTGGAAGGCGGCTGAAAAAAGAGCTTGTCACCCGCGAGCGCGAAGAGCGCTGTGGCGTCCAAGCGTAAAACGGATTCGCGCGGCCTGGGCAGTGCCGGGCTCTTCTTGCGCCATGCCCAGGAGGGATCCAGGCCCCCGACAGGTCCCCGGATTGCGCCCCGGTGCCACAACCCTAGCAGAGTCAGGCAGAGCTCCCGCGGGACCAGGAAGAGCCTGGCGACGGGAGCGGGGGCCTCTCCGGGGGCTTAAGGGACACCGCCGTTTCGGGGCGGGAGGAGCAACAGGGCGCGCCTTAGACAGGCCGGTGGACGGTTAGAGCCGTGTTCCCGGGAGAAGGCGCCCAAAGGGCGTATTTCCGAAAGCGTTTAAGTGAGTTCCGGGCGCGGGGACGAGGAGGTGGTCCGGAGGGCAGGAAAGGGGCGCGTCTTGGGGCCCGGGGAGCGGAGCCAGGGACGTCCTCTGGGAGGGGCCTCGTGCGCAGGGCGGGGCGGAGGCGGATAGGGGCCCCGCTCCTGGCAAGGAGACAGCGACAAAAGGCGGGCGGGGGGATCTTAGAGAATGGGCGAGTCACAGCAAGCTGGGCCCGGGTACTGAGCCCGGGAGGGACGGGGCGGGCCCCAGTGAGCGTCGTGGGGCGGACCCTGGCCGCGCTCTACCGGGGCGTAGAGGGCTCAGTTTCCGCTCAGGCCTCCAGGCTTCCTAGTACCTTCTCGTCGCTTCCCTGCCTCCTTTCTTTTTTGCCCCACTCTCTGCTGTTTCCTCCACCCGCCTCCGGCGTGCGTACGGGGCCGGGAATCCAACCCAATCCTCGGGTTGGTGAATCCAAGGCCCCGGCACAGCTGCGCCTTGCAGCACGCGCGCGCTCGCCCCAGACTCCGCTCCCGGCTGCTTTCGGGTCCCCCACCGCCCCGCCACCGCACGCTCCCGACCCCA